GAGGGAGGAAGAAAACCACTTTCAGTTGACCTGCCCGTTAAGAATTCAAAATTTAGAGCAACCACTAAATACAGGGCACTAGATTTGACTCTGATAAAAATGCCCCATAATGAAACTGACCCAGGAAGCTTGAGGGTCACCTAGCTCTGCACCATCCTCAACACCTAAGAATGTGGGAGTGGCAACTTGTGTGGACTTTGGGGGTAGGCGGCCTAGAAAACAGTCAGGCGTCACCAACCCACCACTGCCGCCTCTGCCGCTCTCACATCCCAACAAGCCCTGTGCGCTTCTTAGAGCCTCTTCACACGGGAAGCCGGAGGCCCGTCCAATGACGGAATGTGCCAAGGGAAAGAAGATGCGAACACATCCTTTACTCTATTTTGCCATTCCTCAGATCTATCCACCCCAAATATTTGAAAGCAAAAAGATATCAAACTTCAATACCACGAGTTTATTTTTTAATTGGCCACATCTTTGGCACTGACATTTCGATTTGCCTTTGATTAATGTATGTGATGAACACAATTCTCATGTGTCACTGTTTGGCAGTGAGCTCCCACTTATGCGGACTCCAACAGAATTAGAGGTAATGAAAAATAACAGGAGTCACTATAGTTTTCAGAAAGGCTATCTTCAGTTTGTGACATCACCATGGCTTGGAATGGTAATGAACACAGTTTCATAGAACATAAAAAGTCACATATTGTTTAGTGTCAAATTTCTAAGTGAAACTAATTCAGAGTTTTTCTACAGGCCAAATATGGGTTTGTGTGTTAGCATAAGAAATACTCATATATTGCCCGGTTTGGGCATGGCTCTGTGGTTGAGCGTCAACCTAGGATCCAGGCGATCAGGGTTCGATTCCCGGTCAGGGCACATGCCCGGGTTGCGGGCTCGATCCCCAGTCAGGGGCCTGCAGGAGGCAGCCGATCAATGACTCTCTCGTCATTGATGTTTCTCTCTCTCTCTCTCCCCCTCTCCTTTCCTCTCTCTGAAATCAATAAAGATATATATATATCTTTATAAAGACATATAAAGAAATAGTAATATATTTTAAAGCAAATTTAGAATAATTAAAAATTAGTTAACAATAAATACAGTTATCTCAGTGATTTTACACAAAACATTTATTGTGATCAAACTCCCAAAGACCTTTTGACCAAATCTATACAATTATTTTCCTTGAAAGAAATAATTACAGGTTTTTTTAGATATGTTATGCTTCCGTACTGCTATGTGAAAAGCTAGGTGCTTTCCTCTTAAGATGAGTAGATATTAAAAAAAAAAAGAGTAGATAGAATAGTTGAAAACCAGGTGCCTCCCATTATAAAAAATAAGGTAAAATAAAAACACAATTTGTATGTAAATTTCTATATCAAATTTACATAAAAGGGAAAAATTGTTCTTCATAGCAAATGTGCTATGAAAAAAATAAATTTATAAAATTTATAAGATTCATTAAGAGCTTGAAAGTGATTAAAAAGAGGTGAAACTGGAAAAAATTATAAGGACTACAACTTTTTTTATAAGGTAAATTGAACCCTACAAAAACACTAATACACAAACTTAAAAAGGCACTCCATTATCTTAATACATTTAAACATTTAAATACGTGATAAATGCTCTGTGAAAAAGAAATCAGATAACTCAATGAATATTACATTAACTTGTTTATCTACTACCCTTTAGACACAATCTCAGTTGCCTGTCATGTCCAAATGATCAGATCATCAATGCTCCATAAAATGTTGGTTAAGATTCCATAAGCTTTATTAATAAATGTGATTAAACTTTTTAAAAAAGAGAAATTATGATATATATTTTTTCTGGTAGAATAAAATCAGGGTCGATGACTTTGTAAAATTTGCATAGCAGTTGGATTATGGACTTGTAGATGACCTGCCTGTGTTTAAAGCTTGCTTCTGCTGTTTTGTGGTTACATAACTAGAGCAGTTACCTACCTTCTAGGTACTGTATTTCCGTATTCTAGTCTATAAAATGGCGATAATAATAGTATGTACCTCACACAGTTATTGTGAAAACTAAAGAAGTATTTTTAAATTCATAAAATAGTACTTAACACTTAGTAAATGTTATGTATGTGATTGCTCTAGTTATAAAAATTATTTTAAAGATTCTCTTTAAATTAGCAGGTTAACAAACAAAACTCTGAAAACTACCCAGTGTTGATTCAGCATGTAATTTCTAAAAAGTGTAATTTCTTACACTTTTCCTCACGGGTTAGAGCCACTCATCTTTCTGAAACTAAAGGAAATGATATTGTAGAAATAAAAGAATCCCGGGCAATATGCCAGCTCATACTCTAACCCCACTCCATAGTACTTTGCCTTGCACATAGTAGGTGCTTAATAAGTTTTTACTGAAAGAATGATTGGGTCACATAAAAAAAGATTTAAACAACACATTTCAGTACATGCAAAATTAAATTTTAGAAAGGCTAAAATAATATATGATTCCTCTTGCTTAAATCCCTTTTATTGTTATTTTGTACATGCTATTACCATACAAATATTCTACTTACACAAAACTAGTTAAGATTTCATTCCCTCAGGTGGAAGCCTAGGTCTGGCAGCAATAAAACCTTCTACATTTTGTTGCTGAGGATTCTTCTTGCCTCAGTTAAAAGATCTTGGAGGTTAAACAAGAATCATTTTAATAATAATTTTCATAATGTACAAGACCATTAAATTGCTTTCTAATATTTACGTCTTCAGGTTGAACTTATTTCCTACTCACTTCCTAAATTATCTACAAATGACCTCTGAGGAAACTGGATTCCAGTGAGAGGCCAAACACGCACGGGATTTATTACACCTATCATTCTAAGAAATTGGGGCTAATGCTGTCCCAAGGCTTTTACACAGCTGTATCTAGCCTGTGCTTCCACTTGAGTTGAGAGGGGCTGATCTATCAGACACAGGCATAATTGTAGAGACAGTCACTGAATATTCACAGCAGAATTTCTGCTTCTACTGCATATACAGGAGACTAGAAATGTAACAATTAGAAAATACATCTTCTATCTAGAGAGAAGTGATTCTAAACTCATAGAATTAAGCCCTGTGCGCTTAAAACTAATAGTTGCCTCAACTTCTAAGAAAACCCCCATTCTGCCAAAAAATAAATTTTTAAACCATACACACACATTCATGGAGCTCTTGTTTTCTTGATAATTCATAAAAAGTAAAAGCCATGCCAAATATCATGGCACAAAATTATTTTCACTTTAAACATTTTAATTTGTGTTCTTTTCTTTAAGCTATATGTAGGTTATATCCTGCTAATAGTATTATAGTCTATGTAAACGCAAATATATCGCACAATTTTGTTTCTCCCCAAAATATTTTAAAATTAAGTAAATCTATTATCTTTAATAAGGTTCAACAATATAACCTGCTTTAAAAAAATCTGTACTTTTGGTCAAATTTTAAATAAATTAATGCAGTTTCTCCAGTCTCTTAGAATATACATACTTATAAAATAGAGGGAGGTGTTCTTTATATATGGGAGACTCATTGTGGAATGGAGGATAGTTGTCATGAAAATTAAATGTTCTTAGGAGCATGTTTGTCTAATTGGGAGAAATAAGAACATTCTGAAATTGTAAATTCCTATGGAAAATGCTATATGTATTCATACAACACATCAGAAGTGGAATGAGAAGAAGAAATTGGGGCTAATGCTGTATGAAAAAAAATAAGTTAGAATTAAAGAAAAAATCATCAAAACTCCTTATCACCCAAGTACTTGGGTTACAAACCTGTATTTGTGATTGAATGCCTAAAAACACTTCTACTTTTCTCCACTGTGCACCTTGCTGTCCACTTTGAGCCCACAATTTAGAAGTAACATTGTCTTTCTTGCTGAGTACCTGCAGAGAGAAATCAAGTAGGAAGTGCTGAAATATTTTGTCTTGATAAATTTTAAACATGCAGAATTTTCCGTTTTTTAAAATTTTAATATCAACATGAAGTCCCCGAGAGAAAAGCTGAGACACTTTTCATTAGATGTCTTTGTTTTTTATACAGCACTGTGTCTCCAAGGTATCTCACAGCTTTGTGCAATAAAAGCGAGCATGAATATCTGTCAGTCAAGTCCGAAGGAATCTGAGCATCATTTAATTAAGAACTCTACGTTAGCTTTACAAAAAAAATTTTTTTAAATGTAGTCATCGATTTTAGAGAATAAGAGGGAGAGAGAGAGAAAAAGAGAGGGAGGGGTGGAAGGAGAGAGAGAGAGAGAGAAACACCGATTTGTTGTTCCACTTATTTATGCATTCATTGATTGCATTTTGTATGTGCACTAATCGGGGATCGAACCTACAACCTAGGCAGACAAGGATGACACTCTAACAAACTGAGCTACCTGGCCAGGGCCTACACTAGCTTTCTAAAAATCTGACAGCAATAAAAGTTGGAATTTTATGGATTAAATAATATCCATGTAGTTGAAAAAAAGCACAAATTATTAAAACACTCTTTTGATCCCTCAGTGTGTTCCATGCTTCTATGTCTTTGGATCTATTTTGTTCATCAGTTTATTTTGTTTGTTACATTGCACATATGAGTGAGATCACGTGGTACTTGTCTTTCTCAGAGGGATCTCAGAGGGAAAGTGGGGGTGGGGTTGAGGGTGGGAGAGATTGATTAAAGAACTTATATGTTTACATGCATAATCCATGGACACAGACATAGGTATGGGGATGGCCTGGGGGTGGGCTGGATGCAGGGTGGAGGGGATCAATGTGGGAAAAAAGGGGACATCTGTAATACCTTCAACAATAAAGATAAATTAAATAAAATAAAAGTTAAAATAACCAAAACACTTTTGAGAATGATCTTCATCTTCTTGTGTTCAGTGGGGACAGCGATGGTATTACAGTGGGAGCTCATTCAATTTTAACACGTGGGTGATAGGAGCAGGCACCCACTCACGCGGTGCTAGTAAGATCCCCCTACCCACAGCCTTGAAACTACGTTCCCATCAGTGCTGTATCTTCATTCTAAGGGAAAAGTCAGATTAGCCCCAGCAGACAAATTATCACAACTTTTCTTGTAGAATGATACAATACGGGAGCCATCAAGAGAATAACTGAAGGGACTCTGGAAAAGCAGAGCAATTCCACATTCTAAAATAACAGACTTAGTTTAATCATTTCATAACAATACTTTTACAAAATACAATGTGCACAAATCAAAAAATTATTCAGGTGAAGGGTTTGTGATGGTTTTCTTTTTAAAGTGAAAGTAATTTTTAGTGGTTTCATTATCTTTTAAAAAAAATTAAGTTCAAATAGCTGCCTTTATAGTAGTAGAGTTTCTAAAGTTTTGACTTACTAAGTAATATGTGGCTAGAAAAAATATCACCAAATTCTTGGTCTATAAAATTTAGCATGTTATCAAAGTCAAGAAAACATAATTTCTTAAAAAAAATAAAAATAATTTTTGAGGGATACTAGAAAGAATGTGAGGAGTGGATCTATGTATGAGTACTACTCTATATACAAATTGCTAATGAAAAATGTGTTAATGCAACATAGTAATGCAACATTTAGTGTTATTCAGTCATGCACAAAAATAAGGATCATATGTATTACTATTTTACTATTTTAACTATTTGATTATTGTGTATGAAATTTAAATTGTTTTATAAGTTTTCATCTACTAATACAAATTTTATCTACAAAAAACAAAAACACAGTTTAGGTGATTAATCTCAACTACAAAATATACTAGGTAAGTAATTCTCATTTTTCTAATGAAAACCTTGCAGTAAATTGTATTGATTGTTTTGCCGAAAGATATTCTTTTTAAATCAAAGTAAAACAAATGATAAATTGCAACCTCAATCCACAAGACTATTTGAATGCTTTCAGTTTACTAAACAGGTACACATACTTATATACAAACAAGTTCACTTTTAAATTGTTTTTGATAAGAAGTCTCATCTGTAATAAAGAAGACAATTCTTTCAAAATCCATTTATAAATTTATCATGTTTCAATAAAAACAGAAGTTGTGAAATAATATATGTTTATTTAAAAATTTATTTAGAAAAATAAGTATTTAACATGGCCAGGAACATACATAAAATTGGGGGGTGAGGGAACACCTAATATTAAAATTACAATCAAGCTACTGAGAAAGAAATAGTTAAACAGCTGATCTGCATTCTATTTCTCTCTCTTTATTGGGGAAACAGAAAGCAGGTAAGCCAAGTGTAACTTCCTTGAAAATATGCTAAACATAAACTTCTTTGTAAATAAATTAGTGGTATTTGACATGGGGAGAGATTTTATCTATGGCTGCTATTATCGAGATATCTCTGGTCTAAAACTGCTCATGATAAACAATTCTGAAATGTTAGAACCTACTTTTTCAGACATGGCTCCCTGGAAAATGTTATATAAGCTATGAAACTGAGTATTAACGGAGGTATTTCAAAAAACTGAGTTGTCTTCTTCTGTGTAAATGCTGTATCTAAACAGACAACATACAAGCTGTTATTATATAAGGCGTTTCCAATATGGTAAGACAGGACCTAAGGATGTGCATTCAGACCCCAGAACCCCTCTCTGGTTTGCCTGCACAACTCAGTCTCCTAAAAGAAACCAGGACCCCATGGAGAAAAAGCTAATGCCAAGGGTGGAACTGGATAAATATAAGATGAATCTAGAATATCTTTTTGGCCATAATGAAAGGAAATACTCAAACACTGAGGGGTTTGTCAAGGAAACATAAAAGCCAGCTTAGTTAATCTCTCCCCACCCAACCAAAGAACTTACATGCATATATACATAGTGTGGTGAAGGCCTGGGGTGGGGAGTGGGTGGGGGGT